GAGGCTAAAAAGGTTAAAAATAAAGAGTGGATTGATATAAATGGGGATTTTTCTGATGAGAAGTTAGTTAAGGAATGGAAAAAACTAGTTGCTAGTCATCAAATAGCCGAACAATGAATTACAGCCGGAATTGGTCCTACAGAGTATAAAAAACTTGATTGGCTGCTAAACACCAAAAGTTTAACCGATCCAAGCGATTATACTAATGACAAGAAAAATTTAGACGATGGATGATATATTTATAAATATCAAACTTTCAAAAAACCTAAGGATTTATCTAATTATCTAAAAGAGATAGAAAAAGATTGTAAAAGTTATATAGATAGTCAAGTTTCCAGTTGGAATGTTACTGATGGGGGTTATAACCCTTACTGACAAAGAGTAGAAACTGACTTAAAAGCCTTCAATCAACAAAAGGATATGGAAGATGGCCTAAATGCCATTTTGACCAAATTAAAACCAAATAATTTTGCCGATAGTCAGGTAAAAACTCGCTATCAAAGCATTGAAGACAGCATTCGTAAAATTGTTCCTACTACTACCGGAGGAGGAAATAAAGATTGAAAAGATATTCACACAGGATTTGATGGTCGTCAAGATTTAGTAAATTTATGAACTAATCGGGGTTTTACTCAAGACGAAGTTAATGAATATGTTAAAGTCTTAAAAACAGACAAAAATATCAAAGACGAAAATATTCCCCGTCAAGCCGAATATGCTTACTGATGAAAAACGGTCAAAAATAAAACAGTTAAAGATTTAGAAACTGCCACCCTAGATGACCGCAAAGGATATTTAACTTGGTCTATTAGTGAAAGATTGAAATTTTTTACTGATAACAAATGAAAAGCCGAAGAAGAATATAACAAAAAAGGAGTAAAAGTCGGGCATTGAAATAAATATGACCGAGGTGATGGAACTTGAAAAGGTTATTTGGATAAAATTAGCGAAGATGAGGGGGAAAAAAACAAAGGATTTGGTTATGAGGAAGTAAGTGATGGATTATTGTCTGCTCTTTGCGAAACTCTTTTCCCTCACATGTTCTGATTAGGCAATTTAGGAAAAAAA